TGGGGATTATCAGCACAGTGACACCAAATTTGTCTTGTTGAAGGCGATTGACGTGACTATACATGGATTTGGAGTTGGATGAGAATTTGCGCATAAGTTGACACTGCTGTTCTCTCTTATCTTCGCATATAAGCTGGACTCATTGTTTAAAAAGAAGTCTGCAGGCTTCACAGTGAGTAGCTGTTGGACTGGAACGATGCGTTCTCCAGGCCTTGTACCTGTGGGCAGTCAACTTCCAGGTACGATTTCTGGTGGTTGTGGAGCGTTGCTTCCCTATGGGAACCTGTTCGCTGGTTGTGGTTGTGGAGCACACTTCACGTAGGGTAAAGCAAAAGGTTGACCACGCGCTGTCGGCGCTCATGTTGGGTTCGAGTGACCAGTTGCTAGCGGAAATGTGAATATTCAACGTTTCCCAATCAGTCCAGCCTTTGGTATAAGTTAGCGTGCCGACAGATTTGTTGGACAAGCATCCAAAGTCGAGACGAAGGACGCAGTGATCACTGAGCCCCAGAGGACATCGTACTTCCATGTGCTCAACCACAGGTTCTTCGTTGGCGAGTATGAGATCCAGAGCGATGGTTGGTTGTTGGATCGGAATCTGCTTGCCTGGAGGGTGTGGTTGTACAACGGGGTTGTGCGAAAAAGAATAATGTGTCTTGACGCAAAGAAATCAGTTGTCGGAACGGAGCAAAATAGACGGGGTAGTTTGAAGTCCTCCATGATAAGGCGTATGTGTTTGTGGGGTACAATAAGATGAATGTCGTACAAGCGTTGTGCGTACTCGGATGAGTCGTTAGGGGGCGATAAATAATACAAACTAGCAGGAGTGTTTGCTGGTTAGTACCATCTCGCAACATGTGGGGTCAGGAAAATTCAAAACAGTGTCTGCTACGATGGTACAATTCAAGGTCTCGTAGTACTATGTGACACCGCAACGTGAGGTTGCGAGGTCGAGGCGGAAGACTGATATGTGAGGGAGTTGAATTTCACCGTCGGTGATGTCGCTGGACAGTCATGTTTCCGTTATGGCTATTAAGTCCGCTGACGTTGACAGGAGTCGGGACTAGAGTTCCGGAGGTTTGGGTAGATGGCCCTGTGCATTCGTGTAAACGCTTGTGGAGCTTGTCTGCGTGGTGATTGCCGGAGCAGTTACGGTGTTGCCGGCCAACGGATGACCGACAGTACACTGCTTTTGGCTTGAAGACGTGGGGCCGCTAAGGATGCTGGAAGTCGGGGATGCGGGGCGTCGGCCATCAGAACGGAGATGGGTAGCGTCATATGGTTTGTTGGAGGGCTGTCGGTTGAATTGTGTGACACCAGGCAATGGGGCAGGTGGTTCTGGGTGAGCCATCTAGAGGAGGTTGGGTACGATTGTGACGAGGGTACCGAGGGGTTGCTGCTGTTGGTGTGTGACAGGCTGCGCATCTCGGCATCGAAGGGCTTTCAGGCCACAGGCGGACATCTGGTGACCCTCGTCTTTTATTGGCATACCAGATGGTGAAGGCATCGGTTGTCATGCTAGCGGTAAGGAATGTCAACTTCAGGAGATGGTGGGCTGTTCCTGTATAACTTGCAGACCTCGTGTGCGGTGAACTTCCATCGTAGTTACCTTGAAGAAACCGCCATTGGTTGCAGTTGGGCTGCTGTTGCTGTAGTAAGGTTACTTCAAGAGCATGAAATGAAATGTGTCAGCTTATACGCCGTAACGACGCTTCGCTGCCGCGCGACCACCACTAGTCGCGCGCGGGCTGAGTATACCGCGAGGACGCCCACCCCTACGCGGATTCGAACCGGTGACCTTATGGTTGGAAAGCAAACGTGCCGACCACTCGGCACGCCAGCTGCTGCTTTCGCGCAGCGCGCTTAATCCACGGGATGTCAGAGAAGATGCAAAAATGGTAAGTGCTAATGTATGCGTTGTTTTGGAATCGGTGTGCTGACTACTGAGCATCCTCCATATCCGGGCCTGGCTAAAGTCAACACATAGAAGTCTTGGCTTACCGATGCTCGGAGATGAAGCGTGACACATCAATCTTGTGAGATTGCTGGGTTTAATTTCGGGGAAGTTTAGCGCGACACAGATCGAGCTCCACCTGGTGGAGTCATGAGAATGTTGTTTCCGAACTTGCGGATCGCTAGATTCTTGAACGTTTATGCATGTAACCGAATTATGGGTGGCGCTATTCGTTGCTGTTTTACTTGGACACGAACCTGGGGCGGCAGTAGGCTTTATAGGTGGGCGGGTCTCCGCCGGTAGCTTTTGGCGTCGACGGGTGCTGTACAGATCGGTACTCTATAACAACGAGACGACATGTGAGTGAGGTAGGTTTGGAGTTTGCTGTCCTCGTTCAGTTAATCCAAAGACTTCGCGGTACGTTCAACAGCTGTTCTTTCAGCTTAAGCCAATGTACCTCATTGCGGGTGGTGTTTTCAGGCAACTCGATAACTCGTGATGATCGCATCGGCTGCATATGCGACTGGTTGTACGCGGTGTGGAGACTTGTTAGTGGAGGACAAGATATGCGATCCCAGCATACGGTGTTTCGTGAAGGACCGGTCGTTTGGGATATCTCGACCGGAATTCGCAGTGATGGGAAGGCCATCCAAGCAGATGGATGCGATCGATAGAATTCGCTGTCGGTTGCATGGGGCGAAGTGTCACAGAAAGCGGGAACACAGTGCAAACATGTTGAGCATGCAAACGCTTTAGAACGAGGCCCTATTCGCTGAGTGCAAATCTATCAAGTGTTCATTTGTCCGCTTGTGTGTTTTGGGCGAAACTGAACAGATCGGCATGGTCAAGCAAATGACACAAAAGTTAGCAAATAAACGTAAACGGGTATCTGCCAACAAGGAGAGCAAAATCTAGCGGATCAAAGATTGGGGTCAAAAACAAATCCGTCAAAGTCAATTTTTTGCACGGTATTCTTGAAGTAGTGTTCCCACGCAAAACACAATAAAGGTTCGGGAGACGAAGCACCCAGGCACCTGAAGGTAAGAGAAAGCATTTGGAGAGATTTCCGTAGGCTTTAAGTGTGATGTATTTCCGTTTGTTTACTTTTATGAGTACTGTTCAAGTCTGAAGTACTGTACACTAAGTAGCGGGAAATTTTGTCGATAAGGGTGTCGATCCTACATAGGGGGTTGGCGGCTAGGTGAGTGTGCTGCTTAGCAGTTTTGCTGTAATCTACAACAGTGCTGCTTTAATATATCTCTTCCGAATTTACCAAAACCTGAACTAGACATCAGCAGTACGCCGGTACGCAGTACCGACGCTTTGCTGTCGCTCAACGACCACCGGTCCTACGTGGGCTGATGATACTGTAAGGGTCACTCTGCCCCTACACAGGCTGGAACCCGCGCCGTCAGACTACAAGCTAAGCTCGTTGCCTTTAGGTTACGGGCCTGCGCCGGAGCTCGCCACGAGGGTGTTGATGACCCATCAGTTTCTAGTTAAGTGCACCTTTAGTCCAAAGTAGACTGATACCTCGATTTTATGACGATCGCTTTTAGATATAAGCATCGTTTCCAAACAGGGAGGGAGGATTTACATCGGCGCCAAATGATGCATACCGACAGATGGGAGGCTGTTCATCAAATTGATGAAGTTTTCTAAAATCACGTCTTAAGAGTATTTCTGAAGGAGGCTTTGAGAGTACGGACAGTTTAAGGCCCGTGTACTGACAGTTTTTATATCGTACGGCAACAAGAATATGACCACCTGTAAAAGTTGTTAAGTGCTGCTAGTCACCGAAATTTTGCAGTGAAACGGAGGTTCTCATTGAAACGTTTGACAACCGATACAGCGATGTAGCTGTAGGAGTTTCTAGTATTAACCGACGTTTTCATCTTTAAGGGCCATCCGCTTGGTTCATGTGCTGTTTATGGAGAAAGGTGCGAATATTGACAAATTACATAAGTTCTGTTGGAAGAAGGATTGGGGAAAGCGCATTTTGTGGCCCAGATCACCAACTGGGAAGGTTTGCCAAGTGCACAATACGATACATTGTAGCCCTTTATAACGAGTCTGCAATGCCTAAGACGAGATTTGGTGCGACTAAACGTTAGAGGTTTCGTTTTAGTCTGACAACCAAACGGCAAGAGTCGCTAATTTTGAAATATTTAGTTTCAATACCTCTGCGCAACAGGAAAAAACAGGGGCAATGTGGACAGACTATCCGACATTATTGAGATGAGAAGTTCGATGTGATCGTTGATAGCTTGTTATAACGCCATGCGATTACTGACTTGCGTGTCATGCTGCGTTGTCAGCCGTCACTGGCGGAATGTTACAGATAACGATGACGCGAACTCTTTGACATAAGGAGGTACTTTCATTTTGAAAGTTCTACCTGCATCTCTGCTTGGTTTATCGTCTTTTTGTGGGCCGTTTCCTGATACAACGAGAAATATACATTATTATTATTATTAATAATTCCAAACAGCCATTTCTAGTAATTGCTTTACTCTGCATTCAATATAGTATCTGCTAATCATAGTGGGGAAATTTCCTGGGAGCCGTGTAAATCCATACCGCACTCCGTCACTGAGGTTTGGAACTTGTGCACTGCTTTCTGCCTTGCGGGTTTCTTATTGCTGATAGCGAATTTTTACTTACAGCTGCGAACTTGTTCGTTCCTAATCCGTTGTCTGTGGTAGCTTACTAATCGGCTCAACGATGGCAGGAGTTGTGCGCTGAATAGACTTAGCTCAAGATCAGTATTAGCCAGCTTTCACTCATCCATTTCGCCGTAAACATCACCACCAGCAGCAACAGCAAAATGCACTCTTTTGAAGCTACCAGGCAACATTCGTCACTGTTCGTTGTATTTTGCATTATAAATCTTGGTTTTGTATGAGCTTCCTTTTTCAGAAACGCTTGCTTTTCATCGCCAGGTCGTGCTGTTTCTGGTAAACATACTTGTTGTTTTTCTTTTACAGGAATAAACAATACATCATTCCAGTCTCTCCAATAGAGCTCTTCTGACCACTTTTGTTCCATGGTATTCCTGTCCATTTCTCAGCGTAATGCATGTTCAAGGATTTCGTTAAAGCCCACATAAAAGAGCCCTGGCGACTGCATTCAACTCTGAAAAAGTATTATCATAATCGAAAAGCCTTGACCAAGCTTGTATGCGAACTAAGCGCAATTGTGTCGCGTTCCACAGAGTTTGATGCTACCGGCCTTGCCTGTCAGATTTCCGAAGACAGACTGCATTTAATCACTGCTGCACTTGAATGCATTAACGCAATTCTTCTAACTCACTTCGCTCCTGAATTGTTGTGCCATTCGAAAAGCCGACTAGCCTTAAAGCACGTTCATCACATCATTCAACGGTTACGACCTCCTGCTCACTTACAAAATGATTCAAGTTTTTATACAAGTCTCCAAGGTTAGCTGGGCTTGTTTTTTGTGCGTTTGATTTTCCCGCCTTTCGCCGATCCACTTTTATTGCGTATACATACTAGCTCACAATAATTTGGCCACATAATTTACAAATTTATTAATATAATTAAACCATCATGCATCCCTATCTCAACCATTGTCTTTATCCAATTGTTGCTGAATCTAGTTGTGATAGATAATTCGTACCATACTGCCTTTTTGCTTATTGTGCTTCCACGATTCTTTGATTTGCACTCTTCGGCGCTTTTGTAGCCGGCTAGTAGCCGACAGAGAAGGATTATGCTTTGCAACCTGCACATCACCGGTTCGAGCCTGCGTACGGCGCCGGGCGATCCTCACGGAATCCTTAGCCCACGCGCGGCTGGGGGTCGCTGGGTATCAGAGAAGCCTCAGTACAGCGTGCAGGCATACTACTGAGTCATTTTCGGCTCTTCTGTGGGAATTTTAAAACCACTAATGCCCAACAGATAATCGGTTAGGCTACTACCAAACAGTCTCGACATTTTTACAGGAGATTGTAGGAATGTCGATAATCCTTTTTTTAATTAAACTCATCGATTGAAACTTACGCTTTGTACAGCTGCGCAGAATGTCTTCGGCAATAGGAGGTTGCAACGGTTGTCTGCTTCGATTGATCCGCCTGATGGTCAGTCATCACGAAATGCCTTGTAATAGACAAGGTAGGGTTCCGGTTCTTCTTTTGATCCATCCCTCTATGTCGTACCATGTATTGACCCAACCACTTAAGGAACTGCTCCGCCACCCCTTGAGCCGGTCGGTCCTGTCTATTTAGATATCACCGCAATTCCAGACGAACTGGTAATTAACACGAGAAGTCAAGCCGATTGGCGAATTATTCGCACTGTAGTTGAGAACAAGTCTCCGTCTGGTGCGAAGGATTCGTAGACGCTCGACGGTGTAGGTGCGCATTAGAGCTGACCTAATCTTGCGACCGGTATCATTTCAAACAAACTTCTTTTTTCTCAGCCGTTTGTACTGACGAGTTCTCTTTGGGGACTCTACCGTGGAAGTGAATAAATTTTTCCGGATACCCGTTTTACAAAAGTGTCCTATGTATGAATTCCTCTTCAATCTGCACCATTTCTGGACTGTACATACTCCTGCTTCTGTTGTATAATGTATTAACGAGTCCACGTTTGTATGCAACTGCAACAAATCTGGTAAAGTGCATGTATCGCCTACTCCAGGTCGCTTCGCAGTGGAATTTCTGCGAGTGCACCTGCTCGTCTTTTGCTGATACTGTCCGCAACGGCAGTCTACCCCATTATATATATATATATATATATATATATATATATATATATATATATATATATATATATATATATATATATATATATATTTGCAACAGCCTACAAATAGTCACGGAGCTATCAAAAAGCATGGAACTCAAAGTAAGGTTCAGATCTCGTTAAAAAAAATAACAAAACACGGAGGAATCCATGCTTTCGTCATTGGGTGAGCTACTACCCGGTTGCCCAAGTCGAAGTAGGGTGTTGACTTAGTGGACACCACTCCGAGCCTTTGGCCCATTGGCCTGCCCGCAAAGCAGCAGAGCGAATTCGGGGAATCGCGCCCATTGGAGGCCAGTGACCAATTGTCCTGTCCATCCGCCTTTCGCTTGTTCCTTTGCCAGACAGAGGCCCAATGCTCCCCAAAATTTCAGCATAGAGTTGCTGGAATACAATGCTTCGCCAGTATGAAGCAAGGGGCAGTGACTTTATTTAGTGGCGAGTCACGTCCGCCACCTCACAATGTTGTTAAACGGACATATGTGGCTTTTCATAAGGCGATTACTTACCAGGCGAAAACCCACCACGTCTTTAAACACTACCGCCAAACGATTTGCTCGAACGGGATAATTTCGAACAACCCATCTGGCACCACGGGGTGGTGGTTCGGCAAGCCAACCATCTCATGCGACACGGAGAGATGAGTGGAATTTAACAGGGTGACAGTTGGGTTAAAATGTCATTCTCTGGTGTAGGTTCATGTCATTCACGTGAGGTTTATATAGCTTAGCTTTGCGAATGGTGATTGCAGTCTTCCTTTCTATCAGTCTCACCCAAATTGACCATATCGCCATCAACTACAGATGACACATATCGGCACCTAACTTCTAAGCTTCTTACCTGCAACTTTAACCCGCAATCCACAGTGCAGAAATATCATGACGAACTGGGTCCCCAGTTATCTGTCCTAGATGATATTAATGAGTCGAATACCGAGGAGAATGGTCTCAAGTGGAAAATACTTTTGACGCCTGCCGTACATCCAACCTCCGAACTGTTACTGGACCTTTGAAGCATCGATTATTTTGATCGAAGCACGCAAGCGTGTTTCATAGGGAACTGTATTTCAGCATGCCCGTAATGCCCTGAAACGACGTCAGACAAAGGATCTTTGAATTGACTAGGAACGTTCATGCGTGACAAAGGCCCGTTTGATGGAGAAAGCCAGTGAGCGCGTTCAAGTGGCCAGGGGTTGCCAATCAATCAGCACTCCAACATCGCATGTGTTTGCTGATCATTCTTTCGATCGGCTGTTAAGTTAGAACCACAAGCTGTTTGACTTGGTGCCTAATTAAGTGAAACAGCAGCGACCAGTCATTGATGTGTCAAAAGAATCTGAGGAAAGTCACTGAATAGCTATCGGCTTTGTTTATGTACTCATCCTAGATAGTTCGGTTGCAGTGTTCCACGACGTGGTGGGTTTTCGTTTGGCAAGCGTTCTCCCTATAGAAATCCACAAATGTATGCTTAACAACACTGTGACGTGTCGGTCATGTCTCGCCACCAAATAAAGTCACTGTCCCGTGAATATCCGGATAATCATTTCCAACCTGCGGACACCAATCTTCTACTCGCACATTGCCGACGATATCAAACATTCAAAAATGGAGCAGCACAATTACAAGCACAAACTACATAGCTACGTACACTCATTTGGTTGGCGGCATCCGGTTTCGGATTTGCCTGTCACTGTGGGCAGCCACAAGACGCCTGCGCCTACAGAGGGACCATGGGTGGCTTGCGCTGCACCACCCACAGCTCCAACCACACCCCGTATTCAGTGTAAACCCGCGCTGGGAGCGCATTGACACCAGCCATGTGACAAAGTCAGCTGTTCTGAATGCGTATCGAAGTACGCTGACATGCGAGTTGAGTAAGCGCTCACTGGAGACAATTGATGGTAACTGGTCACATGTTCGCCAGACCGTACTAGCAGCAGGCAAATCTTCATGTGGTATGTCTAATAGCCAACATGGATATTGGGTCTCTTCGCGGTCTCTGGAACTTATCGACGCTCGCCGGCCTATCCCGGCTGGAAGCGAACACAATGAAACTCGCAAAGAGCTCCGGGCAAGACTCCGTGCTAGCCTGAAGAGAGACCGCGAGTCTTGGTGGTCTCATCGTGCGTCAGAGATGGAAGTGGCCGCTGCGCTTGACAACCATCGTAAGTTATTCCGTTTGATACGGGAAACGGGCAGCAGGAGACCTGGTCTTAGTGAAACTATACGTGACGAGAGTGGACAGCCTATCCACAATTTGTCAAAACGTCTGGAGCGTTGGGCTTAACATTTTGAAAAACAACTTAATCGGCTAGAATTGTTCGATTCTTCGGCGGCCAGTGATCGCCCTGCTCCGTGGGCTGCCCATCTGGATCCACCCTCTCGCTCAGAAGTCGAACGTGAGATCGGACTGTTGAAGTTGAACAAAGCCGCGGGACCAGATGATCTTCCTCCAGCTCTTTTCAAATTCGGAGGCTCTGCTCTTGTTGATGCTTTACACGAATTACTGGTGAAACTGTGGGATCAGGAGACTGTCCCAACCGACTGGAGCCGCACCGTTATTGCTCCCGTGTTCAAAGGAGGCTCGCGTTCGGAATGCGGCGACCATAGAGGAATCAGTCTGATCTCCATCGCCTCCAAAATACTGGCCTCCATAACTCTTCACAAACTGACTGGCGCTCGTGAAAGCCAGATTCGTGAGGAGCAAGCCGGGTTTCGCCGGGGTCGTGGCTGCATCGACCACATCTTCACCTTGCGTCAGTAGTTGGAGCACCACACATATTGGCGGCCAACAGTAGTCGTGTTCCTCGACGTCAAAGTTGCCTTCGATTCGGTTGATTGATGTGCCCTTTGGAATTGTCTACACAGGAAAGATGTGCTCGAGAAATATGTAACTATTATCCGAGCATTATACGCGCGTAGCACGGGCAGAGTGAGGGCTTACGGCAAGCTGTCGCCACCCTTCAATATCTCCAGCGGTGTGAGACAAGGATGCCCGTTTTCACCTTTCCTTTTCAACTTCGCTATTGACGAAGTCATTGGGACTGCATTTACAGGACATGACTTGGATCTTTCGTCGTCATTAACCATGATAGCAGCTTGTGGTTGGTAACAATATACAACAGTCGCCAGAAAATATGTCCTCCATTTCTCCAAGGCCCACACTATAACAAGGCATTCTTTCTCCGTCGTGGAGTACTTTTTCTCTGCGCTGGTCAGCACTCTGCTGGTGTATTCGATCATACCGGCTGGTTGGGACAGCACAGTCTCCGATTGCACCGTGAAATTTTCACCAGGCTCGGGTAGCCGTAAACATGCTGGTGCCTCTGCAATGCCTTCCTTTAGATCGTTAAAGTCCCGATCCGCTCCAGTTGTCCAAGCGAACGACTCGTTTTTGTGCAGTTGCTTTAATAATGGACTGATCTCCGCAAAATGCGGCACGAGTCTCGAAGCATACGCTACCATTCCGAGGAACGACCGGAGCTGACGTTTAGATTTCGGGGCTGCGAAATTCTTGATTACTTCGCGTTTCTCTGGAAACGCCTGAACTTGACCATTCCCCATAATGTGGCCCAAACACACAGTGAACTTTCGAGCGATCTGTGCATTTTGCTACTTAGCTTCAGACCGGCTTTCTCCCGTCGTTGTAGAACGGCTTCGAGTCGGGTACCGTG